CCTCACCTGTTCTCCGCGTTCCTCGTATAATTGGGAGGCAATTAAGCGCGACTAACGGCTGAGGCTGAAGCCATTATGGGCCCGCATATTGAATCTTAAGCGCGCGAATTAGCCGCTGTTAAAGGGCGCTCTGGGGCTAATTAATCATCGCTCGAATTGGCCTAAGCCGGCTCCGTTTTCAATGGGCCTCATTGAGCGCGCGGTAACGAGGGTCGGCAAGAGTTCCGTAGAGCTCGGAACGGGGATCAATGCGGGGGGATAATTCTCGCTCTCACGGCCTGAGGGGGTGAGGGGGAGGATCAGTCGTGCCCCCCCCCAAACGGGGGGAGATTGGGGGGCCTTCACGGGGACTGCGAGAGGCGCGCCCAGTGAGCGCTGTGGGTGACGCCAAAAGTCGCCACCCCCCGTCTCGCTTCACAGTTTTCACTGGCGCCGAAGTGGCGCAGCAAGAGCGACGGGTTCATGCGTGGCCGGAACAGTCGCCCCGCTCCCCACTCTCGAATGTGCACAACGAGAAGAAGAGAAATAAAAAGGACTTGCAGGTTATTACTCGATTCGATTTGACAAAATGAAACAAATATCGCCCCCCTCCCCCCGCCGTACAAGGCACACGATATTCCTACCACGAGACCCACTGCAGTGGGATAGCTGCCGTGAGCGGGTCCCCTATAGGCTGAAACAAAGACTGCGCTCTGAGACGTTTTATTGCTCCTGTTTATATATGTTCTGACTGTTTTGATCCTAAGTTGTTTTTGATACTGCAATGGCAGTGGTGCGACACACAAATAACAAAACCCATCAACACATTCGTTAATGACACTAACCTGCGTACAACATGAAAGGGCGCCACGGTGGCTCGGAGATGTTAACTACATCGCCTGGTATGCAGGAGGTCGTCGGTTCAATCCCGACCATGACGCCTGCTGTATATTTGGAGTTTGCGCATCTCTCTCCCCGTGGTTGCATGGATTTTTCTCCGGGTCTTCCGGTTTTTCCCTCCACATTTTGAAACAACACGCGTTTAGAGTATTTGGCTGCCCCTATAAATGTCCACGTGGTAAGCCACTTCGTTGAGCTATTGTTTGTGGCCAGGTCGCTTCTGAAAAAGAGCTCTATACAGCTCAGTGGGCATTACCTGGTAAAATAAACAAAAAAATGTTTAGTTTGTATCTCCAAACAGGCAGAATCATCCACCTTTGTGCCCTGTCGCCACCCATTATGGCTACGTTCAGCGAGTGTGAGAAGTGCACCCATCTCTACGTGAACCACCAACGCTCGCTATAAAATCCCCAGATCGCAGACCGATGAATTGCAGTGTTTTCTTCTTTCCATCTCAGTGTAAGTCCACGTGTCTCCATGTGCAATCCCATGTTTCCTTTCATTTCAAATGCGATAGTACGAGAACACATGGTGTGATGTGGCCCGTCAGTGAGGATGCTGGTGGTTGAGATCATGTGGGTGGGTAATGTGTGCAGGATGGAGGCGAAGGAGGGCACGTGACCAGAAATCTATAAAAAAAAAGCTTGATAGGTCATCGGATTCCTCCAGTATAAATATTTTGATTCTGAAGACGGGCATGGTAGTGGCACCCCAGAGGTCGGCGACTAAGGCGAAGACCTCAAGCCACGTGGTTGCTGGTGGTGCTGGTGGTGCTGCTGGCGGTGCTGGTGGTGGTGCTGGTGTTGCTGTGGTAGTGCAGGTGGTGCTGGTGGTGCAGGTGCGATTGTGTTGGTAGTGTTGGTGGTTCTGGTGGTGCTGGGAGTGCCCGCTGTGTTGGTGGTGGTAGTGCTGGTGGTGCTTATAGTATTGGTAGTGCTGGTGTTGTTGGTGGTGGTAGTGCTGGTAGTTCTGGCAGTGCTGGTGGTAGTGCTGCTGATAGTGTTGGATGTGCTGGTAGTGCTAGTGGTGCTGGTAGTGCCGTTGGTACTGGTGGTGGTAGTAGTGGTAGTGCTGGTGGTGCTGGTTATGAAGGTGGTTCCGAGACTACTTGGGCGGGTTGTCATTGCGCCGCTCATCACGACGAACTCGCGTCGCCATCAAGGAGACTGCTCGTGGTCGAACCACTCGCCCATGACCCCAATTTGACTCCGCCACGGTAAAAAAAAATCTCGAGCAGTGTTGCGGGCACCTCCAACTGTGTGATAGCGCGAAAACAAAGTTCTACAAACTTCACCCTTTCACCGCCCCCCTCCCTCCGCGCTCCAGTGCGAGACCGAACAAGTTAATAAGTAAAATCAACGCCGTGGGTATTTTTGTCATCGTTGCCAGCGCCAACACGCGGCGCTGGCACGCAAGCGAGAACGACGCAGCAGCAACTCCGTAGCTGCTTCTGTGCATCTCACCTCTGTCCCCCCCCCACAGCCCCCTTTGTATCTCCTCTCTCCGGACTCCGCAATTGCTCTGCATGCCCGCACGCACGCGTGCAGCCACTGACGCTGGATATTCGGGAGGGGTACTGCGTCTGTCGAAGTGGGGAGCTGAAGTTTGTATTGGTTTAGCGCGCTGCGCTGACGAACCCGGAGACCCGAGTTCAATTGCCGTTCACGGTCAACACCGGTGATGATTAACTGTACCGGTCCTGGGCCTTCCCCTAGGGTCGACTCGACGAGTACCTGGTGCGGTGTATACATCACGCCGCTGGGGGAGACAAAGGCGGCCGGGCGTTGTGCTGGCCACCCACCCCTTCGTGTGCCGTTCCGGCCTGCATAGGTGTATATTGAAGGATATTTGACTTTGTATTTATCTCAGCACTTCGGCTTCTCGGCCACGGCGTACATCAGTGGCGAGAGATGTGAGAAAGAGTCATGCACACACTCACCCAGTCCGTCGCCATGCCATTTCAACAAACCGTGGTGAAGTATGGTTAACCCCCAACAGGAGAACGATTCCTGATTGTGTCACAATATTATTATCATCATTATATAACGCACATATGTAGGTAGAGTGAAACCTTTCTACGTTTTTTTTTCACAACTGGGACAAAGAAATGGACAAAGTTATATAGTGAATTGAACGATAATAGTTACATTGAAGGTGATGAACCAGTAAACTCCAGAAACTAGTGTAGTCCACGATTACCCTGTAACCGTATTGGACCCCCGACCGCAGCAAACATTTAAGTGGCGAGTAACAGCATGACTACTGCTGCCGATCTGTAATGACCATGGTCAAACAACCCCAGTGACTAACCCGGTGCGGGGAAGGCCTTTTTCGAGCAGTGGATTTATCGACTAATGGGAATGATCATTGTTATTGTTTTAACGTCTCCCGTTTCGAACTCGTCCAGCTCCGGACTCAGATCTCTCAACGCCTCGCTCTCCCTCTCTCGCTCTCCGAAGAGTAAATCGCGCGGAATGCGCCGGATTTCGTTAGCTGCTGAGTGCAAAGCCGGCTCGAGCACGGGGTAGTGCTTCCAATAGGCGACTGCCAGGCACAAGCAGGTTGGCATCGATCACAGTTAGTGGTACGACTCTAGTTGGAGGGTATATGGCAGCGTCAGGCGACGCATAGGGGACCAGTCGGCCAAAAGGGAGCCCCGAATCAACAGATAAACGAGTGGCAAAAAGTTAATACAAAATATTCATAGACCATGCCCGACTAACGCATTTGGCTATTGCATCAACAGAGCAGCAGAAAGTTGAGGCGATCCACCCCTTTGGGGAAATCCTAGAGCGTTTGGGCCGGCATGAAAGAAAGACACGATAACTTAATTGTGAGTGTTGTACCCTTAAATATTGTTATGAATACTGTCACTGTCAGACAGTCTTCCTCTAAACCCAATACACGGTGCAACTAAAGTAGTATATATATTATTGGTTCTTTCGGTAAAGTCACGTAGAAGGGAAACAATAATATAATAAAAATATAAAACAATAAAATACAATAAAATATTAATTTAATAATAGGATTTTTCCCCCTTTTTTGGCAACAAAACTGAAACCTTTTTACGAGGATTCATGTCTGCATTAACCACAATACCTGCAGTCAAAATGCAAACAAAAAACATACTGTGATAATATATGCATTGTCCTTGAAACTGATTGGTCAACACCAAGGGACGGCTTTCTTTGTTTCCCTTTCACGTGACTTTACCGAAAGAACCAAGAATATGAATCCCTGCAGTCACAAAAGCTTTAAATCAAATTTAATGTATATATATAGTTATAGCCTACATATTATTGTATACGGGTTAAAATACATTCGTCACTATTTCAGTTAAAATGAGCCCGGAGAAAGGAGGGGGCCCACAGTCGGATCTTGCATCGGAAGCTGCGCCCCTGAGTGCAGTATGGCTACGTTATTGCGTCTTAGAGGGCATTCATTTCCTGTGCTTCAATTTTGCACAACTCTTCGTTTCCCGGCCTTCACCTGCCCACCCCGACCAGCGTGGTTAAGTACTGTCTTTAATCCCCATGCCTGGCACGGTGCGCAGAGGTCTTCATCCGGTAGTGAATTGACTTAAGGGTGTTTTATTTATTTATTATAACTCAAAGTTTAATCTCAACGTTACTCCTCTGCAACATTTCATGCCTATAGACCAATGGTCCCTAACCTGGGGTGCACGCACCCCCTAGGGGTGCGAGATGCCCTTTATGGGGGTGCGAGACATGATCAGATTTTTTAAGAAGGTAAATCATCGAAACACAAATTGAGCACGGGCACGTAAGTGCACCTACTTTGTTTCATCAAACCTATGTAACATTGCATATAAAAATAAATATATAGATTGAGAACCAAAGGGGTACAAAGCTGCAGTAAAGGTTCAGAACCACTGCTCTAAACTATCTTCCAATTTCAGATAATATCCACGGTATCTCCCTCACTTACACCTCTCTCTCCCTCGCTCCCTCCCTCCCTCCCGCTCACCTTTCCTACTCTATTGCCTCCACCCTCCCCTCACACGCTTGAGCGGCCGATTAAAGGTGCTGAAACTTCACAAATTAGCGTCACAAACAATGCCGCTCGCTCTCCGTCAAGTGGCGAGAGGGAGACCGGAGTCGAGTTAAGCGCGAAGGGGAGGAGGTCGTGGAGTGGATCCGCCAGACGGTGAATGAGCGGAGCCTTGATTTAAACCTGTGGGTTTCGGTAAGCCAATAATCCGACAGGCGACCAGGTGCGATCGGGCAAATGCACGACTAAGCGAGTGAGTTAATTCACAAGGTTGGTGGGTTGCAGAGTTAGTTTCCGCCTGTGTCAGTGTGCTGGTGATTGAATCACTGCATGAGTTCGCCGAACGCGCATTAGCTCTGTACTGTCATTTCATCACCCAAAGAAAGTCTCGAGGAAGTGTCAAGACTCTTTGTTCAGGAAGATCGTGCATTCAGATGTTTGGCAGGCAATTTTGTTAACGTAGCTTTGGTAAACTAATACGATAAGTTTCTCTAGTAAATGCCTACATTTCTGAAGAAATTAGTGACGAGTTAGTAGCACCGAACGCCGTTAGTGAACGAGTCATTTGTGAATTGGTTGTTATTTTGTATAAAAAAACGGGCTCATAGCCCTTGAGTGATTATCTGTGAGCGTGTTTGTGATGTAGTGAATTGGTGCGTGGTAAAGTAAGCCGTGAGTGGATTGGTAGTTAGTGAATTAGTTAAGATAGTGAGTGGAATATGTGTGGTGTGACTTCGGTGGAGAATTTGTGCACGAGTGAAATAGTGAACCGTGGCTGATGTTGACGTTTGGGAAGTTATTAAGATCGTAAATGAAAGTGTTCATGTACGAGTGAGCCGCGTGGCTTTAAGGGTCAATGGGGGCAAACCACTGATTGAGCTGGCGTGCGAATTAGCGAGTGAATAGCCGAGGTTATCCACAGTCGTTTAATGATTTAGCAGAGAGTGTGTCGATAAACGGCTATAAACCACTTGGCCAGGGTTAATGGTTATTAAGCCTGTTTAGTGAGCTAGTGTATTAGTGTCAGTGAACAGGCCAGTTGATGAGTAAGAAGAGAACACACTAAAATGCGAGTGTAAGCTAGTGAGTGGGTTGGTTAAGCTTTAATTTTGGCAATATGTAATTCGACAATTTGATGTTTCATCAAACAGTAAGCTATCTATATTGCTTGTGAGATAGCTCCTATTCATTTATAAGATACGCATTTTCTATAATTGAAAAAGTTTGAGTTAGAGTCATTGTAAGTTGACATTAGCAATGCCGTGATTCTTTGGTGCGATGCTGAATGAGTGTTCGCCATACTTATTTAATTTGTGTTTGAATAACTGCTTTGTCAAGTGAAGTTCACAAATAGCAATTTTCAATACACAAAATATCTACTGCTCTTTCTCCAATAACTATAATAATTACAAACATCACAATATTAACGGTACAACTAGAGGCAAAGCAACACAAATCACGGACGTGTGTCAGTTTAAAATTGTACTTTAGAATAATCATCTCAACTTGTTCACGATTTTAAATCGTTGAAATCGTAAAAAAACAGTTGTAGTGACACGGGTAGAGAAACGGCGAGAAGGCCCTCGGCCAAGATGCTCAAATGGTGCAGACTGAAGCTGCGGGGCGAATCCGGCCCCGGGGCCAGGCGCAGGAGAGACCGCCTAGTCTGCAAGGACGGACACTGCAACATCGAGCTGGGAAACCTCATGGCCGGCGGCCGGCCCCGCTTCGCCCTCCTCGTGGACTATTGGACCACCATGGTGGAGCTGCGGTGGCGCTACAAGACCGCGGCCTTCCTGCTCGCCTTCCTCGGCAGCTGGTTCCTCTTCGGGCTCATCTGGTTCGCCATCTGTCGCCTGCACGGGGACTTTCCCGGGTCGCAGCCGCCTCGAGACCACGTCCCCTGCGTCATGAACGTCCACGGGCTCACCACCGCCTTCCTCTTCTCGCTCGAGACGCAGGTGATGGCTAAACGCGCAGGCCACACTGCAGATGACCACTCCATGATGCACAGGCCATGGTAATAATAATGCGACTACAATAATGCATTTGATCCAGGAACGTGTTATAACCAATCGTCCCTTGACCCCCCGCCTCTTGCATCTATCACGAACCAGGTCACCATCGGCTACGGCTACCGCTACGTGACCGAACGGTGCCCCGAGGCAGTCGCGCTGCTCATCCTGCAGTCGCTCTCGGGCGTCGTCATCAACGCGTTCATGTGCGGCGCCGTCATGGCCAAGATCGCCGCGCCCAAACGCCGCGGCAAGACGGTGGCGTTCAGCGACCGCGCCGTGGTGTGCGTGCGGAGCGGGCGCCTCTGCCTCGTCATCCGGGTGGCGAACGTGCGCAGGAGCCTCCTCATCGGCTCGCACGTCTACGGCAAACTGCTGCGGACCACGCCGACCCAGGCTGGCGAGACGCTCATCATGGAGCAGAGGAACGTGAGCTTTTCCGTGGACGCGGGCGCAGGCGATGCGCTCTTCTTCATCGCGCCGCTCGCCATCTACCACGTGATGGACGAGTCCAGCCCGCTCTTCGGGCTGTCCCGATCGGATCTGCGCGGAGGAGAGACCTTCGAGCTCGTCGTATTTCTGGACGGGACCGTGGAGGCGACGGGCGGATCGTGCCAGGTCCGGTTCCCTCTTTTCCCCTCCACCCCCGGCCCTCCTCTCTTCACTCAACATGACAGTCTGATGGATGGGGATGGTGCAGTGGGGGGATTTGCCGGGGGGTGGGAGTGGTGCAGGCTGTGGCATGGGTACCGTGGGCAAGAACATTTTCGAATGTGTGGCGAGATACCAGGGGCGCAAACAAATATGGAGGGGGGGGGGGGGGGTGTGGCAGCGTTACGCGATGCGTAGGTTGCCCAGTTCGCAATGAAGTGGGCCCCGAATCAACAGATAAACAAGTAAAACAACGTGAAGAAAGTGTACACGTAAAAAATAAAATTGCAACAATTGACAATAAATGCCTAAAAAAACATTTTTACCAATGAAAAATTATTTCAGAAAAATGCCTCGCGTAAAATCTAGTAGTGCTGTTGCCGGTGTTTGTTTTCTGAACACCAGTACTCTATGCTAACCTATATGCGTATGAAAGCAAGACGCACGACAATGTAATTGCGTGTTGTACCCTTACATCTTTATTATTAATACTCTCACTGTGAGACTGTCTTCCTCTCAACCCAATAAACGGTGCAACTAAAATAATATATAGTTATAGCCTACATATTATTGTATACGGGAAAAGCACCATCCGTAGCTATATCAGTAAAAGTGAGTCGGGAGAAAGGATGGAGTCCCACAGTCGGATCTTCCATAGCCGCCACGTTGTAATAGGAAGATGCGCGCCTAATGGGGGACATCAGCACAAACACGAATGCACAACGTGAAACAAATGCCTTGGCTCGAGGCGCGAACACGTCGATTATCTCTGCATTGTGGCCTGAATCACCTGGAAAGGGCAGGGACCAGTGGCCTTGATGTGTGTGTGTGCGTTTAACTTATTTTGCAACGTACGTAGCCAACCGTGCTTATCGGAGGTGCGTGAGGGCTGTCGTACACACAACAAAACGGTTCGAACCAATGGGTCAGCCGACCATCTAAGTCGGAGCAATATCTGAATCGGTCCCAAAGCATCACCCCTTAACCACATTGGCATTGACCAGCGTGGTGAAGTATGGTCAACCCCCCCCCCCGACGACCACTCGCACGGCGTTGGGGGGAGGAGGTCGTTGCCCCGTGTGCGGATTGACCCCATGGCCGTGCGCGCAGACATTGGCGTGCGGGCACGGGCGCCACGCGGTGCGTCTCTACTCGTCGTGGTGCACTTGCGATGTTGCCGCCAACCGCGCGGTAGTCTCGCCATCCACGCATTCGCCATCGCTACCAGCAAAGCTCCACGGTCGTGTGGGGAGGCTCAGCCCCGGGGAAAACCGCCTGGGGAGTTGCGAGGCTTCGCAGGAAAAGAGCCGCCGCTGCTTCTCTGCTCGTGTCGCGTATGGCTCTGAAGGAGCGAGCGGTGCATCTGCTGCTATAATAATAATCATTTACAATTGTCAGACGAATTTCATCCAAGGATCCCAATACACCACGTGCATGTAAAGCAGTAAATAAGAGAGAGCCAGCATAGTAAACAACCAAACCTATGGGGGAAAGGTCATTTTAAAGAGCTGAGTTTTCAAGGCAGATTTAAATAGCTCGAAAGATTCTGATCATCTTATTATATTATCAGAGGCAACGCGTTGGCAAAATCCCGATCACCCCAGGAATTGAGCCTTGACCTCGAAATGCTAAGACAAAAGAGATCAGAAGATCTCAAGGACCTCATTGGTGGTGTATTTAAATGTGATCAGTTCCTGTCAGTAATGTGGGGCTAACCCATTGACTGCTTTGTAGGTGAATAGCAGGGACCTTAAAATCAATTAGATATTTGATTGGTAGCTAGTGCAAGGACAAGAGAACGAGTGTGATGTGCTCACGAAATGCGGTTCGCGTAAGCGTTATATAGCTACTGCCTGCTGGGTATTCCCCGGTCACACATGACTCGTCCGCTCTGTGTGTGTGCGCTCGCTCTCTCCCAGGTGCGCACCTCCTACCTTCCAGACGAGATCCTCTGGGGCCACCGCTTCCTGCCGATCGTGTCGACCTCCAAAGACGGCAAGCACAGGGTCGACTTTGGCAACTTCAACAAGTCGGTGGAGGTGGACACGCCGCACTGTGCGACGTGCATGCAAGGAGACCAGAGCGACGACAAGGTGGACATTGGAAATGTGGGAGAGGGACTGGATAACCCAGCGTTTGATGTGACTTCCGTGGTGGACGAGACGAAGATGTGAAGGATCATCTTCATCATCAGCAGCAACAAATGCAACATCTTCAGCAGCAACAAAATAATCATCAACAATAGTAACAAAAAATACCAATCAACAGCACCACAAGCGTCATCATCATTAGATGTAGCAGTAATAGCAGCAGCAGCAATGTACAGTGATGGAAAAAAGTATTTGATTTTGTACGTTTGCCTACTGACAAATAAATGATCAGTCTATAATTTTAATGGTAGGTTTATTTGAACAGTGAGAGACAGAATAACAATTAAAAAATCCAGAAAAACGCATGTCAAAAATGTTATAAATTGATTGGCATTTTAATAAGGGAAATAAGTATTTGACCCCTCTGCAAAACATGACTTAGTACTTGGTGGCAAAACACTTGTTAGCAATCACAGAGGTCAAACGTTTCTTGTAGTTGGCCACCAGGTTTGCACACAGCTCAGATCTTCTCCAAGTCATTAAGGTTTCGAGGCTGACGTTTGGCAACTCGAACCTTCAGCTCCCTCCACAGATTTTCTATGGGATTAAGGTCTGGAGACTGACTAGGCCACTCCAAGACCTTAATGTGCTTCTTCTTGAGCCACTCCTTTGTTGCCTTGGCCGTTTTTTGGGTCATTGTAATGCAGGAATACCCATCCACGACCCATTTTCAATGCCCTGGCTGAGGGAAGGAGGTTCTCACCCAAGATTTGACGGTACATGGCCCCGTCCATCGTCCCTTTGATGCGGTTAAGTTGTCCTGTCCCCTTAGCAGAAAAACAACCCCAAAGCATAATGTTTCCACCTCCATGTTTGACGGTGGGGATGGTGTTCTTGGGGCCATAGGCAGCATTCCTCCTCCTCCAAACACGGCGAGTTGAGTTGATGCCAAAGAGCTCCATTTTGGTCTCATCTGATCACAACACTTTCACCCAGTTGTCCTCTGAATCATTTAGATGTTCATTGGCAAACTTCAGACGGGCATGTATATGTGCTTTCTTGAGCAGGGGGACCTTGCGGGCGCTGCAGGATTTCAGTCCTTCACGGCGAGGTGTGTTACCAATTGTTTTCTTGGTGACTATGGTCCCGGCTGCCTTGAGATCATTGACAAGATCCTCCCGTGTAGTTCTGGGCTGATTCCTCACCGTTCTCATGATCATTGCAACTCCATGAGGTGAGATCCTTGCATGGAGCCCCAGGCCGAGGGAGATTGACAGTTCTTTTGTGTTTCTTCCATTTGCGAATAATCGCACCAACTGTTGTCACCTTCTCACCAACCTGCTTGGCAATGGTCTTGTAGCCCATTTTAGCCTTGTGTAGGTCTACAATCTTGTCCCTGACATCCTTGAAGAGGTCTTTGGTCTTGGCCATGGTGGAGAGTTTGGAATCTGATTGATTGATTACTTCTGTGGACAGATGTTTTTTTATACAGGTAACAAGCTGAGATTAGGAGCACTCCCTTAAAGAGTGAACTCCTAACCTCAGCTCGTTACCTGTATAAAAGACACCTGGGAGCCAGGAATCTTTCTGATTGAGAAGGTGTCAAATACTTATTTCCCTCATTAAAATGCACATCAATTTATAACATTTTTGACATGCGTTTTTCTGGATTTTTGTTATTGTTATTCTGTCTCTCACTGTTCAAATAAACCTACCAATAAATTATAGACTGATAATTTCTTACGTCAGTGGGCAAATGTACAAAATCAGCAGGGGATCAAAAACTTTTTTCCCTCACTCTATGGATACTCATCATCAGCAGCAACAGAATCTCCATCAACACCAACAGTGACAAAACAATACTAATCAACAGTACCATAAACATGATCATTAGATGTAGCACTCATAGCTGCAGCATTAGCAAAAGCATCATCGTCAATATGTTTGTGTTATCATTCAGGTCGTGGACTCTCCCTGCTCAAATGCAATTTTAAGAGGTTGCTCATCAATGGTAGCCCTAAACCAGTGGTGGATATTCCACATTCCTATGGCAGGGATCATTATCGACATAATTTGCATAATTTATACCTCTCCATGGAGTCGTGCTTCTAATTTTATCGTCCTGGGAGGAGCGATGGGTTACGTTGACTCCTACCGGGGGGTTTCAACTCGCAAGCTTCCGACTCCCAAGCAGATCATAGTGAGCACAGAGACACGGCATGGGTGTCTCATCATTATCGTGATCTTCATCAGAACCACAATGTGTCTATCTGAATAAGGGCGCCACAGTGGCGAGAAAGGCGCCATGGTGGCTAGGAGATGTTAACTATCTCACCTGATATACGGCAAGCCTGGGTTCGATCCCGACTATGGCACCTGCTGTATATGTGGAGCTGTGCATCTTCTCCCCGTGGTCGCGTGTAATTTTCTCCCCCGCCCTCTGGTCTTTCCCTCCACATTTAGAATCAATGTGCGTTTATAGTATTTGACTATTGCTATAAATTTCCACGTGAAAAGCCACTTAATTGACCTATGCTTTGTGATAGCCAGGTCGCTTCTGAAAAAAAGAGCTATGTAACTCAGTGAGCCTTACCTGGTAAAATAAAAAATAAAAAATACTTTAGTTTAAGCAGTTTGTTAGATGCCGGTTGGAAATAGCGGGAACCAACCGCTAGAAATTATTGACGCGCCCAGCCAACAGGCCGGCACAGAAGGGATGGTGGTCCAGATCCCAGGGGACTTCCAAAGGACATCTCCGAGAGTGCACCTCCATCTGGAATTCTACCTCGATCCGAGCGGAGCGCTTCAATCCACCCTGCGCCTCCTCCTCACTCCTCTCCCCATCGCTCGGCTACTGACATTGCCCCTCGCCCCTACCAGCCCCTCTCCATGCATAGTGCCTCTCCCCTAATTCCTCATCCTGCTCCAACACCACTGCCAAAACCTCAGCCAGGATTATATTCAAATACCCCTCCTCCAGAAGCACCTCGTATTAGCACGGTTAGCTACGTACGGCGCGAAAGAAGTGCAACGTACAGTGAGGGAAACAAGTATTTGATCCCCTGCTGATTTTGTACATTTGCCTACTGACAAAGAAATGATCAATCTATAATTTTAATGGTAGGTTTATTTGAACAGTGAGAGACAGAATAACAACAAAAGAATCCAGAAAAACGCATGTCAAAAATGTTATAAATTGATTCCTGGCTCCCAGGTGTCTTTTATACAGGTAACTAGCTGAGATTATGAGCTTGTTACCTGTTTAAAATACACCTGTCCACAGAAGCAATCAATCAGATTCCAAACTCTCCACCATGGCCAAGACCAAAGAGCTCTCCAAGGATGTCAGGGACAAGATTGTAAACCTACACAAGGCTGGAATGGGCTACAAGATCATTGCCAAGCAGCTTGGTGAGAAGGTGACAACAGTTGGTGCGATTATTCGCAAATGGAAGAAACACAAAAGAACTGTCAATCTCCTTCGGCCTGGGGCTCCATGCAAGATCTCACCTCATGGAGTTGTAATGATCATGAGAACGGTGAGGAATCAGCCCAGAACTACACGGGAGGATCTTTCAATGATCTCAAGGCAGCTGGGACCATAGTCACCAAGAAAACAATTGGTAACACACTACGCTGTGAAGGACTGAAATCTTGCAGCGCCCACAAGGTCCCCCTGCTCAAGGAAGCTCATATACATGCCCGTCTGAAGTTTGCCAATGAACATCTGAATGATTCAGAGGACAACTGGGTGAAAGTGTTGTGGTCAGATGAGACCAAAATGGAGCTCTTTGGCATCAACTCAACTCGCCGTTTTTGGAGGAATGCTGCCTATGACCCCAAGAACACCATCCCCACCGTCAAACATGGAGGTGGAAACATTATGTTTTGGGGGGGTGTTTCTGCTAAGGGTACAGGACAACTTCACCGCATCAAAGGGACGATGGATGGGGATATGTACCGTCAAATCTTGGGTGAGAACCTCCTTCCGTCAACCAGGGCATTGAAAATGGGTCGTGGATGGGTTTTCCAGTATGACAGTGACCCAAAACACACGGCCAAGGCAACAAAGGAGTGGCTCAAGAAGAAGCACATTAAGGTCCTGGAGTGGCCTAGCCAGTCTTCAGACCTCAATCCCATAGAAAATCTGTGGAGGGAGCTGAAGGTTCGAGTTGCCAAACGTCAGCCTCGAAACCTTAATGACTTGGAGAAGATCTGCAAAGAGGAGTGGGAAAAAAATCCCTCCTGAGATGTGTGCAAACCTGGTGGCCAACTACAAGAAACGTCTTACCTCTATGATTGCAAACAAGGGTTTTGCCACCAAGTACTAAGTCATGTTTTGCAGAGAGGTCAAATACTTATTTCCCTCATTAAAATACAAATCAATTTATAACATTTTTGACATGCGTTTATCTGGATTTTATTGTTATTCTGTCTCTCCCTGTTCAAATAAACCCACCATTAAAATTATAGACTGATCAAAATCAGCAGGGGAAAAATACTTTTTTCCCTCACTGTACATGCATACTAAACGGTGATTTCATCTAACTATAATTACCGTCCTCTGTGAATCCACTGCTTGATTAGAGCCTCTCCTTCCGCGTCGTGCCGGTTTTGGTATTTGTTTTTACCTTACTTTGCCACGCTGGGGAGTGCGAGTTTTGAAGAGTCGGGCGCACGACATACTCAGGCATTATTTGCCACTGACGTTCGCTATGGGTTCGTTGTGCCGTCTTTCGCAGACACTGCCGTACCACATCCATCCAGTGTTAGAGATCACGATGCCAGGTCACTGTAGTCACAGTACACATAGGTTAGAATATTACACAATCCACATGTGGAAGTGAGTGTGCCACACGAGCTTGAAGCTTCATTAAATGAGAGCAATGTGAATGTATATACGGACACTCAGGGGAGCGATGTCGCGGCTCAGTGACGTCTCTATGAAGTGATTATTTTGTCACATATTCTATGGTTCCTCTAGTCTTGCTTCGAAATAGGAACGACATCTAACGGTGAGGGCCCTTGCCTATTGACATCTAATAGTTCACTCACATTGATTCAAGCAAGACCAATTCTGCTCATGAGACACTGCATGTCTAAACCAGTCCAGAGCTTGTGTCAAATCAATGCTACTGAAATGATGGACTCCCAAAAGACAGTGTAACTGATCTGATGTGGAAAACACTTTTTTCTCACGTGAAGGGACAGGCGTGCGAAGGAGGTGTGTCATCTGCTTGTTAATTCTGTGACTACGTTTTAATGTTGGCACAGAAACATCGCTAAAGTG